AACTGACTCTAACCTTACGAGGACATCCATCCTTGTGCTACAGTCCAGATTAGAGTTGAATGACTACTGGTCTCAGTCTGGTGGATGGAGCTTCAAGCATCCTTCTTTCCCTCATGCTTCGATATTTTCCATCACTTGCACATCTTGTCCAACAGTCCATGATTAAAACAGTTCTAAGCCACCTTGGGCAAATTAGATTAGCGACTGCATCATTACGACTGGTAAGTGTGACAGTTCAGGAAAGGAAAAACACATACGTAGTTCCCTTTCATCCCATAAATATCCATTTAAAAGTTAGTTGTGATCTTTAATTCTGATTGCTGGGCACATTCTCTTATCTTATTGTAATACAAAGACCCTTTTGTGCCAGAATAAATCAGATATTGTGTTGTAATACCAATATATAACTATGGGTGTAACACCAGTGCAGGATCATAAGATTCACAGGAAGAGACCATTTCTGATTCATAGACATAATTAACTTTCCCTCTGGGGGTGGAGGAAACCATTGAGAATGAGAGTGCCGTGGGTGGGGGTGGGGAGCCTGAAGCCATCTTACGTGAGAGCTAGTTTCAGCTGTATTAGCTTAATTTAGGACTATGAAGCTGGTGAAAACTGGGTACCTGGATCTGTGGTATCCAGAGATTGACCCTAGCTCTACATAGCTCAGCTCTAGCTCCTATAATTAGACCTAACTTAAAATGAGATGGGGCACTTCTCATAAATATTTTTGCCCTCAAAAAATCAAAACAAAGGGGCAAGTGGCTTTTTTGCAGGAGATTACATCCATTGTGGTTCAGTAATGGGTGGGAAGAGCTGTTGCTGTTGGGTAGGACATGGACAGAGAACACATCACCCACAAAAAAAGCTGCCTAAATGGATGGCATTGGTGTCTCTTCAATCCTGCCCTAACTAAACACACAAGCTGTGTACCTAAAGTTGGACAGTGAACCTTGCTTGTCAGTCTTTGCTGCTCTCTCCCATGCCCACCAGACAGCAAAAGATCAGAAGAGATGTGAAGAAACATGGAAAATCTATGGAAGTGGAGGGATTATTCCACAAATGTCTCTCTGCTTCCTTGTCTATTCTTGTTTTCATCAGCATAAAATATAAGAACATAAGAAGAACCCTGCTGGATCAGGCCAAGGGCCGATCTCGTCCAGCTCCCTGTATCTCACAGTGGCCCCACCAGATGCCTCAGGGAGTACATGAGACAATTAGATACCTGTCTCCTGATCCCCCTCACATGCATCTGGCTTTTTGAGGTACCTTCCTTTTAAGCCTGGAGATTATATATCCCCATCATGACATGTAACCTGCAATGTACTTTTCCTCAAGGAATCTGTCCAGTCCCCTTTTAAAGGCATCTAGGCCAGATGTCATCACTACATCTTGTGGCAAGGAGTTCCACAGACTAACAACACGCTGGGTCAAGAAATATTTTTCTTTTGTCTCTTTTCACTCTACCAACACTCAATTTGAGTGGATGCCCCCTGGTTACAGTATTGCATGAGAGGAAACAGAGCTTCCCTCTATCCACTTGATCCATCCCCTGCATCATTTTATACATCTCAATTAGGTCCCCCCTCAGGCGCCTTTTCTCTTGACTAAAGAACCCCAAACACTACAGCCTTTCCTCATAAGGGAGGTGCCCCAGCCCTGTTATCATTTTAGTCACTCTCTTCTGCACCTTTTCTAGTTCCACTATGCCTTTTTTGAGATGCAGCGACCACAACTGTACGCAGTAAATCCTCCAGTATTTTGTACAATGGCATTATAATGTTGGCTATTTTATTTTAAATTCCCTTTTTAATGATACCTAGCATGGAATTGGCCTTCTTCACTGCTGTCGCACAGTGGGTTGACACTTTCATCGAGCTGTCCACCAACACACCAAGATCTCTTTCCTGATCCATCACAGACAGCTCAGAACCCATTAACTGTTAATAAATAAAGGACAGTACTGAAAATATACTATCTGTGAAAGTTACATACAATCTGATATATACACCAAAGCTGTTCTGTAATATTTTGCTCATTACAGGAGACCCTGAAGGACTGCAGTCCTGTGTAAATGATTGTGGGGTCAGGGGATCATTGTATTTTATAATGTTTTATTCTTCTTTGTAAGCAGCCCCAAGTAGACTCTGTCTAGAGGGCGGGGGTATAAATCGAATAATTAATAAATAAATAAGACTCACAATAAAGCGGATAAATTGTTTTATACATTAGTGCATTGGATGTTGAAGTGAGTTGAAAGACCATCACGAAAGCACCATCACCTCTTTGTTTTCTTTTATTCTGGAAAGTAATATGCACAATTAAACTAAATATGCTTTTTTATTTTGTATACACATGGATTGTTCTCTTAAGATAACAAATCTGGAGAACAGAAACCCATCTCCAAATCTTGTGGGTGAAGGGCTGTTATATACTGTTTTTTTATAATTGCACATATTTTTATTTTAAGTTTCTAATTTACTTGTTAACCACCCAGGAAGCTTCAATTAGAAGGATAATCTGCAAATCTAAGAAATAAAATAATTGGTATAAACAAACCATATGTCAAGAAGTGAAATGACGATAGCAGAGAGGGTGAACATTTTTCTTATATATTTTTTTTCTTCATGAATCACTGGCACACAAGTCAGAAACCACCCAGGGAACTGCATTTCTGGATATCACATTTGCATAAACTTTTTCTTTAGCTGCTAACACAGCAGAATCTGTTAAAGAGCAGCTGGTGGGAAGCAAACATGGGGCTTTGCAAATTCACCTTTTAATTTCTAGTTTTAACCGGGAGAGGCTGCCAAGACTTGTCTCCCTTCAGCTGTTTTCCATGAGGCCAACATGTTAAGCCATGTTATCTTCCAATCTAAGTTGCCTTTTAAAATTCTGTGTTATAATGTTAAGTGTTTCCCTGTGGGCAAAGCTTGATAGGAACCGTTCTCTGATAATGAGTGCCACACCTCTGTCTCGTAAAGGCACATGGTTGCAGACTGGCGTGTTTTCTCCCCTCATCCCCCCTTTCTTTCCTTTCCTTTTTTCAGTCCTTTATGTCTAGTCAAGATGTGCCTTTGTGCTTTGTCTGCCTGACAGCGAGAATTGGCCATAGCCATAGAACACAGCATCCTCTCCCTTTGTTCTTAAATATCCCCCTTGTCTCTTGTTGCTAACTATATAAGAGTGGTACCCGACTTTGGGTAACCCAGGTGTTCTTGGACTGTAATTCCAGAAACCCCAGTGAGCACAGCTAATGGTGAAGGCTTCTGGGAATTGCAGTCCAAGAACACCTGGGTTACCCAAAGTCGGGTATCACTCTTATATAGTTAGCAACAAGTGTTATATAAGGACTTGTCAAAAAAAAGTATTCTCTCTGCTTCCACTCTTAGAATAACTACTCTGATTCAATTGCTACTACAAAATGGTGGGACTGCAAAAATTATTGAAGTGTGTTTCTGATCTGCCCATCCACTATAGCCGTGGTTCCCAAAATTGGATAATTCAGGTGTTCTTGGACTGCAAGGCACAGAAACCTTCACCACTAACTGTGCTGCTGGCTGAGGTTTCTGGGAGTGGCAGTCCAAGAACATCTTAAGTTACCCAAGGTTGGGAATCACTGTTCTGTAGTATGGGAAATGCCCTATTTTCCCCTTATAGAAGCTAAGCAGTGAAGCTAACGGGCCAAAAGATGCATAGCAAGATGGTGGCTGAGGAGGGGCATGAGGCCAGCTTCCCCCCCCCCAATGTTTTCTGTCTAATATTGGCAACTTCCCCACAGTGTCTCTCCATATCTCCATAGGGTGGGTTGGGGAGCTCTCGGGCATCATTGCTACCACACACCTTCATTTGCTGTGCAAGTAAACTGGATATTGTCTGAAAGCAAAAAGTCTGTGTTGTGGAGGAATCAAATATATTTTATATTTGAATCATAACCCGACTAATAGTCAAAACTTGTAATGAAATCTAGCCTTCTGCCAGTATTACTCTCAGTTTCTCTGACATACTCAAATCCCCTCACCATGTTAAGATGTGCAAGAGGTGGACCTTGAGATGCAATGAAAATTTTAATGACAGTTTACTGATGAAGAGACTGGTTTAGTGAAGGTAAAGTTCAGGCTGAGAAACTGAGCTTGCGATGAATGTATGTTATGTTCACATACCATAAAGTTGACGTTATGGTATATTCATGTACCATAAATGTCATAAGCGTGACACCCACATGGTGCAGATTGCAAAGCTGATCCTTGGGGGATTTAGCAGCCAAGCCAGGGAAGGACAGAAACAAAATGAGCCTGTTGTCGCGTGCAGGTGTGTGTGTGTGTGTGAGAGAGAGAGAATGCATGTCTCTCTCTCTCTGCCCCTGCAGGAGACCATGCTGGGTGGACAGAAGGGGCAGTTGGCTGTGCACCCTTTAAAAAGTTCCTTTTCAGGAGTATAAGAAAGGTGAGGGAGTGCATGATAAAATACCTTGGTTTCCAGTCGTAAAAATTCTGCATTCTTCTCTGCTACTCCCACCACAATTTTTAATTAGCTGGGTAAGAACTCTGATCTAACAATAGACTCAGAAAAGGGTCTAGCCAAAGAGGAAGCATATCTATGAAAACCTGCCTGCCACACTTCTACCTAATATTGCCACGGCTTCTATCAGGCATGCAGAGCTGCACAACAGAATTTCAGCTATTGAGCCTTAAGCGTCAGCAAGCACTTGAGCAGTTACAAGCCATGAAACGGGAGAGATAATTATATGCAGCATAACTGGGGGAGGGGGGGCTTATAAAGGATCATAGTAAAGAGTGCACAATAATTGGCGTAATAAAGGTTTTGCATAATCAGTGGGTTTTAATAGCGGCCACAGATCATTTTATTTTGAGTTAATACCACAGGAAGCAAGAAGTCCACCGTCCTGCAGGTAGTAACATAGGTGTTATTAGTACACTGGATTTTAACAATCTTTTTAATTATAAAACACAATCTTCTACATGATCTCTTCTCCATAGATTAAATCTGCAGGACAGAATCAGTGTCCTTCACCATGATGTCTGCTCAGGTAAGTCTCCTTCATATTTAGATTGAAGGGCAAGGGAGAAAGGAGATCTGCCTGGCTTGAAAGGACGTAAAAGCTGCTGTGACCTAACGGTTCACTCATATTCCCAGACTGGTGTCCAGCATTCTTCTAGTTGCAGATGAAAACAGTGGCTTGTGTACCCCATTTCAAAGTTCAGTACCCTAAAATACATTAGCAACATAACTGAATGCATATCATGGTTGATTAGGCATATAGTATTAGAAAAAAGAAGTACAGCATAGGGAGTCCATTTGTGTGTGCAGTTTTATCGATTATATGTATGTGCAGACGTTGATTGGTTGGCCTTAATGGCATAAGGCAATTTTCAGCCATTGTGATTGGTATGGCAGCTGGAACTCCAATAGTGTAGAGAGTGCCTGGCTACAGTTATGTGCTAGTAATCTCTGCATTGGACAATTGCACTGAGTTGTACACAAATATGTCTATTGAAAGCTGCCCAGAAATTGCAGCCAGTTCAGAATATAGTTATTAGGCCATAAGAGGAACTAGGCACTTCTCCTGCTGTGTCCAGCCTATGGAATGCTGGCTTAATGCTGGTTAACTTATTAGAAAAATTGTTCAAGACCTCATTCTGTAGGTACAGTTCACAGGATCAGGCATGACTACCAACTGTCTTCCCAGAAGAATGTGATCTAACCTCAGCCCCAGCACTCCTTCGAGGTTTCGTAAATGGTTTCTGGGAGCCTGAACCAAATCAAAATGTAGCTGCCAATTATTCTCTCACATTGGGAGGAATAGGTCAACTGACGCATAAACACGTTTAATTTGGTTTCTCTCTGTGTGTGTGTGTGTGTATGGCGGGGGGAGTGATCTTCTAACCTATTATTACGCTTGGTTTGTTTTGATCATTTCTTCCATGTAGGTTCCTGGGAATGGTTACTGCCCTGTGGTTTCATAGACACTGTAATCAGTAATCCACCTTATGTTTTTCACGAAGACATGACTCACTTGGCGGCAGAAATCCTCAGGTGGTTAACACCTTTTTCTTAGTCTTTCTCACTACTGTTTGTTCTTCTGTTTCCCTTTGATGTATATTTCTGTAAGTAATAGAATGTCTCCTAGAGTTTGTGTGTGTGTGTGTGTTTTAAGAGTTAGTGGCTACCGCACTCTTCCCCAAATATGGAGGGAGAAATAGTGCTGAGGAGTAGAGATGGGGGTTTTGTATTTGTATATGAATACAGAGCCCCGCAGCACAGGTGCCTGGCCTGATTACCTCCCACTCCCAGACCCTGTAGGACCACTTACCACACAATATGTGATGTGCGTGGCCAGTGTTTTTCTTCTGTGCCCCAATCGTGGCAATAGCTCAGCTGCTGCTGCCCACCTTCCTGCATGCCCAGCCACTCCGTAGCTGAACAGGGAGACTCATCCTCCTGCCCCCTTGCCAGAGTGGCTGGGCAAGTAGGGAGGCAGGGCCGCAGCAGCCAAGCTACTGCCATGATTGGGGCACAGAAGATTATGTCGGCCCCACACATCGCGTATTGTGTGGTAAGTGGTGAAAGCTATAGGGGAGCTAGTTGTAGCTCTATGTAGAGGAGCTGTTCACAGTTCTATGTCAACCAGAAACCAGAAGTGAAGGTTGTGTGCCTGCCTCTCCTAACCCCATCTCTGTGGTCTCCAGTGGAGGTGGTTTCCAGGTGGCATTGAGAGAGCAGGAGGTGGGCCCTTGAGGATATTCAGGGAGGGAGGAGGAGATGGGATGGCCAAGGACGGCTGTCAAGATCTTGCCCTTGGTCACAGTGAGACTTATGGCAAATAATTCAAGGGAGCCACAAGCCCAAACTGTTTGAGGACCACTGCCATAGTCCGTCCCCTTCAGCTTTTCTCTTCAATTAAATGCCAGAAATGGAAGTGTGTTCAACTTGGTAAGAAGGTGAGGATGGGGAGGAGATTCGTGCTGCTCTTGTTTGTTTTAAAAGAGAAATCACTAAGTAGCATCCAGTCTAATGATGAGATCTCTGTTTAAATAAATGAACCTCTTTGGCATATTTAGTATCATCCTTGGTACTCCTTGTAAACCAGGAGCAGGCAGTTTCCAGGGGTCCAGGTTAGAAGAAGGCACAAGCCCCCTTCCACCCCCCAGTTTGTTTTAAGAAAAATAGGGGGAGGCTGTATTGAAAATCTCCCTTGTACCCTCTACTGACCAGATGAAATATTTCAGTTTTTTTCAAAAAAGTGAAATATTTGGGGATATGTGGGAGCTCTAGAAGTTCAGAGAGCCCTGAAAATGTGGCAGAATGGCCTTCTTGACCTCTATAGAGGAAACAAGGGGGCTTCATGAGCCCCCCATTTTTTTTCAGACCTCCTTTTTTAAAATTGAGGGTTGGGTTGTAGAACCACATTTGGGCCCCAGGTCGAAAAGTCCGTAGATCAGGGTTGTAGAACCACATTTGGGCCCCAGGTCAAAAAGTCCGTAGATTGGGGGTCCATTTCCCATAGGAACGAATTGAAAACCCATTAATCCATAACTGGCCTAAGAAAAAAATACCCCACAAACAAAAAAATGAAAATAAACACCTTACCTGTCCGAAGCCTTCCAAGGGTCCCCCGCCACCGCTGCCCGAGACCTCCGAGGGGTTCCCGGCCACTGCCAGAGGTCTCTCAGAGGTCCCCCGCCTCTGCCAATGCAGGCTTTCCCAGGGTGGACCGGGCCTACCAGGGGAGGGCTTCCCCTGGTAGGCCCAGTCTACTGGGAAAGCCGGCGGCGGTGGGGGGGACCTCTGAGATGCCTCCCATGGCAGCAGAGATGCCCTGGAAGGCCTCTGTAGGTCCCCCTCACCACCTGAGCTCCTCCTGGAGGCACAATCGGCAGTGAGGGGGACCTCCGGAGGCCTTCCAGGGCTTCTCCATCACCATCAATCGTGCCTCCAGTCCAAAGCATGGTCAGCAGTGGAGGGACCTCTGAGATGCCTCCCGTGGCGGCGGAGAAGCCCTGGAAGGCATCTGGAGGCAAGATTGACGGCCTATGGACCAGAAGGGGGGGGTAAAGCGTCCAATTTGATTTTTGTGCTTTCTCCGCCTCCCCCTTCTGGTCCGTAGGTCGATTCTCCAGCCACAAGACGATGGGAAATTTTGCGGCCGGAGAAGTCCGTACCTCGAAAAGTACGCACGTCGAGCCGTGTGTAAGTCGAGCGTCCACTGTAAAAAAAAATTAATGAAAAGGTGTTGTTTGTACATAATGGCTGAAATGAAGTGACAGTCACCCCTAGTATTCCATGGAATGAGTCTGTTCATCTCACATTAGAGCAGTGTTTCCCAAACTTTTCAGGTTGCAACCCCTTTTAATAATAGCCAAATAATCTATGACCCTCCTGCCACATTTGCATAAAAAGGCATTTTAATAGGATAAAGAAAACATATTAAAATAGGGGTTTTTTTCAGAATATAATTCTATCCTAATATAGTAATATTACTATGATAATATATAATTGGGAGGGGGAGGGGGACTGTAAATCTGCCTTTACCAGATAAAACTTGAGAATAAGAACTATGTCAATACACTTTGATTTTAATTTGCTTTTTGGGGGCATGGAAATTACCCTCCTTTCAGCTCTCCACCCCCCCCAAAAGCCCCCTCAGTGAAGAGCTGCTCCTTCTCAAGCCCAAATAAACACCTCCCCCATGGGCTTTGCCCCATGCCCCGCCCCCTCCCTGGTTCTTCTACCTCAACTTTTTGCGCCTCTTACCCACCTCCTTCATGACTCAGGTGGTCTCCATGAGTCATCTCCCTGCCCAGGTTCCCTCTCCAATGGTCCCCTCTCCAATGGTACCTGGAAGAGCTGCAGTCTCAGGTGAAGAGAAAGATAACCCTGCCATGGCAGCAACACATTTTTAATCCTGTTGCCATCTTGGGTTGTCAGCATTCCCAGTGTGTACTGTACACTCTTCTCATTCAGCTTTTTGATTTGAGCTAACCCTTCGGGCCCAAGGGCTGATGTCAGTCCTCCAAAGGCTTATGTGAAGAAGCAGAGAGAAATTAGCAAGAATGGCTTTTCCAGAAGGGGTAGGAGTGATATGGATGTATAAAAGGAAAATCCATCCAAAGGAGTATAGAAATAACTAAGAATTCTTTATAATTTATACTTTGGCCATCTCATGAGAATAGAAGACTCCCTGGAAAAGACCCTGATGTTGGGGAAATGTGAAGGCAAGAGGAGAAGGGGACGACAGAGGACGAGATGGTTGGACAGTGTCATCAAGGCCACCAACATGGATTTGACCCAACTCTGGGAGGCAGTGGAAGACAGGAGGGCCTGGCATGCTCTGGTCCATGGGGTCACAAAGAGTCGGACACGACTTAATGACTAAACAATAACAAAAACTCTTGGCTGCCTGCTGTTCCCGACTTAATGACTAAACAGCAACAAAAACTCTTGGCTGCCTGCTGTTCTAGTTTAGGTTGAAATTGTCTACTTGTGGGCCAAGAGGATTAAAATAAAATAGCATTGTGTATACTGCATTTAATATAATAAATATAAAAATAATTGCAGCTAAAAATAACCATGATGACACACACACACACCATCAAACACTCTGCGACCCTCTTGGGGATCCTGACTAAAAGGTTGGGAACTTGTGCATTAGACATAAATAACAGAATGGCTTATAGCCATCCCTAAAACGGTGCCCTGAAAGCACCTCAGGTTTTCCACTGAAAATTTTGCACCAGAACCTTCAGTTCCCAGTATTCCTCACCATTGAGCTTCTAGATTAATTAGTGACATATTATCCTTCACAGTGGTTTCCAAGCAACATGTACATTTTGCGAGCTTCTAGATTAATTAGTGACATATTATTCATAGTGGTTTCCAAGCAACATGTACATTTTGTAAAGTGTTACTTTGGTTTTAAGAACTTTTCTTTGGTTTCTAGTTATGAGGACCTTGATGCCCTGGATGGAGGAGATGATGGAATGAGTGTCATCAAAGAGATTCTGAATCTTGCTTCTTACATTCTTAAGGATTTTGGGTGAGTATGGCTTGTATTTTTTTAAACTGTTGTAGGGTTTGAGATTTTCATGAAGGGTATGATGTACTGCCACAACCAAAATATCTGGGGGTAAAGGAAAGCAGAGGAGTCGAGGAACTTCTGTATTTACCCTGTTCCCTTCCTTTTCTAGTCTGCTGCCCTGCTCTAAGGCAGGAAGTGTCGCCAAACAGGAGCTTTGCTCAGGGGTGGGAAGTGTCTGAAGTTTTAAGTCAAACCACAAAGTAATCATAACAAGGTTTCATGGGATATGTGGAGATTCTAGAGCCAAACTGTATGTCTGTCACTCGCATTCCAAAGCAATAGGACAGCCGGAATCAAGGTCATAAATAATGAAGTGAGACAGTAAAAGGAATCCTGAATATGACAATCATAGTATCGAACTGCCCAGGTACACACATTAGCTTCAGCAGCTTGTGCTGGATGGAACAGCTGTATTTCTTCACCTTTGCTTGTGAGTACCTCCCTTCTCCAGCTGGATCCACTTAATTATCTTGAATACGTTGCGTTCTTTATAGTTTCTAATTCAGTACTATCAGTCACCAGTGTTCTCTCAAAATGACTCAGAGTAATTTGTCTGTCACACCTCTTTTTATGTCCTGGAGGAACTGAGACTGCACATGGCAGGGTCAGAGTCTGCCTCAATGTCCTGTGCCTCTGGAAAGAGCTGCCAACTGGACCCTCAGGCACTTCCCGACAGCTGGGAGGACACTTCTCACAGCCTTCATCCTCTGAAAAAGACTCTGCCTGAAACAGCACGACACTCATTCTGAGCACTGAACTGAGAGGAGAAGCCCCACCTTCATTTACACACTTCAATCTATTTCAGTGTTCTGATCTTTTCCCATCAACTAGGAAAGAGCAGAGCCCAAATCTGCCTCCCTCAAGGAGGATGAGTGGGAGCCTTCGTTTTTCCTTCCGCCACTGTGATTCATTTTTTGGATAGGAAAGAGGGAAGCAAGGAATTGTGCTTTCCAGCATCACGTACGTACAGTCTGTAGTCCTGTTTCCACTCCCAACACAAATGCACAACAAATACACTAAGCAATGAAAAAAAACACTTACACATAGGAGTGTTCTGTTTTCTTACACATATTAATTTACGTAAGGTGGGGAGAGAGAATGTGCTCACCAACATCAACAGTTCTTTGCATGTGGCACCAAGACCAGAGCCTTAAATGTCCGTGTTGCTGGCTTTATACACTGCTTCCTGATGTAGTAGAAGGTCTTTAAGTAAGTTGGTCTGCAAAATATAAATATGGGGCAGTAAATCCAGTTCTGTCACAGCTGACTTGGTTGGGACTGAGCTAACAATTATCAGGTTGTAAACTGTCTTCGCAATCCCTATGAGCGTGTGAGCAGGAACTGCTGAAGAGAGAGATTAGACTGAAGCTTTTAATTAGTAGAAGATACAGAAAAGGATTGGCTTGTGTTTGTTGGCTTGAGACTGTCTGAGCTGTTTGGTGGTTTCTTTGTGTGCTTTTGGCTTTTGTGTGACTGCAGCTGTGTGCTCTTCTCCAAGTACATGGTAGAAGAGGAAGTGAATCAGTGGTTTGGTTGAGAGCAGGACTATGAGGTGGGGCTGATAAGTATTGAGCCTCACCCAGAAAAAATTGAGCTAGGAAGCTATACATTGCAGGGTGTATTGGCCAATTTGTCTATAGTCAACGGTGCAAAAATCACCTTCCTATGATTTTAACTTAACTTTCATTTTCCGGTCCAAAGTGAACATGGCAGCACCTCCAGAAAAGTTCAGTGTGGAAGAGCATAGGACCATAATCAGGTTCCTGTTTCTCCAAGGGAAAGGTGCAAAGCAGATCCATGATGAAATGTCACAAACTCTGGGTGACAGTGGCCCTTCACATGCAACAGTTAAACATTGGGTTGTCAATTTTAAAACTGGCCATTTTGGTGTTGAAAATGAGAAACCCAGTTGAAGCCCTGTTTCTGTCTCTGTGCCTGCAAATGTAGAAACCATCCATGACATGAATATTAGCCAAAAGTATTGCTATATATCTGAGAATATCGTGTGAGAGAGTTGATGCCATTATCCACAATGACTTGGAATTGAGAAAGCTGGCAGCAAAGTGGATCCCCAAACTTTTGACAACCAAACAAAAGAGGAAACGTGTGGAGTCATCGGTGGCTATTTTGGAACATTTTGCAAGAAATGAGTCAGATTTCCTGGTAATTGGGGATGAGACATGGATCTACTGTTATGATCCTGAGTGAAAGGAACAGTCTAAGGAATGGAGGCACAGTGGTTCCCCCAGGCTAAAGACGTTCCAAGTGCAAAGATCGGTGCAGGAGCAAATGGCAACAGTTTTTTGGGATAAGAACGGAGTTCTGCTGGTGGACTACCTCCAACAGAGTTCAACCATCAGTGCAATATATTACTGTGCTTTATTGACACAGTTGAGGCAAAACATCAAGGAAAAATGTTGAGGAAAGTTCTCCAAAGGTGTCACCCTGTTGCATGACAATGCCTCGTCACACACTGCAGGTGAAACAATGGCAAAACTGACATCCTTAGGCTTTCAAGTCATGCCCCATCCACCTTGTTCTTCCAACCCGGCTCCTTCTGACTATTATCTGCTCCCCAAACTCAAAAAACACCTAAAGGGACAACAATTTGGGAGGCAACTAACGCTGCAAATGAGTGGTTACACCAGCAGTCAGAAGAATTTTATTTGTAGGGACTTAAGAAGCTGCAGGACAGATGTCACAAATGCATTGACTTCCTGGGGGAAGATGTAGAATAGTGTGGCAGTTACAGCGTCCTAGCTCAATTTTTTCAATGAAAGGCTCAATACTGATCAGCACCCCCTCATAGCAGTTGCCATGTTTGTAGCTGTGCTCAGTCCCTGTAAGTTTGTGAACAGAAATGAAGGAACAGGGATGTTTTCTGCAGAAGTTTGAGGGGGTGTCCAGGATAACTTTGAATAGATGGTGTAGTGAAGGAGGTGTTGTGGTGATCTGTGACTTTGGTGCCATGTTTGGCTTCCTGGCTGAAAATCTAGAAAGCTACACTTGTAGTTAGCACAAGATGATTGTGCTACTAGGAAGGAAGGTACAACAGTTTGAAGCCTACCTATCCACACTTCAGCTCATCAAGGAAGATAAAGGGTTTCTGGATAGAGGTGTGCTGACTCTCCTGAAGGACCAGCAGAGAGACGATGCCTTTAGGAAGGAAGTAAAATACCAAATGCTGGAGGAATATAAGGAACGATCAGGACGGATGCTATGTCCTTGGAGCTATCCACTTGGACAATAATTCTGTTCAAGTTGGACTTGATGAACCATAAGGTCCCCTTCACCTCTGCAATTATTTTGAGTGGTACCGACGTATATAATCTGTTGCTGGGTGGTAAATCAGTAGTTATATAATTCTATTGCTTTTTGGACTATAAACCGCCCAGAGTAGATTTTTATATAGATGGGCAATATAAAAGCCAAATAAATAAATAAATAAAAACACAATTGCCTTTATGCATTTCTTCTAGCTGGGAATAGCAGTTGGATTTAGGCCTATGAAAACCATGATAAAGAAAGTAAAAATTTGAAAGGGACACTTATAGCAGATATCCTGGAGGGGTATTGGGTACTATTTGGGAAATGATCCTTAAAAAATTGTATTAGAGTTTGTTGAGGAAATTCCTTTAGGGGAAGCAGGAAGTTCATATTCTCTGTTCTCCTGTGTTGAGTGGTAAGATGTGAGGCTCCCTAGCATTAGGGATACACCCATCTGCTGGTGAGGATAGATTGGAACAAGGACACTATAGAAGGTTTGATAAACAAATGTCAGAAATAAGATGAGAAGCCCTCCGCCATTGACCAACCCATGAAATGCCCATGTTTACAAAGAGTAGACAATGGAACAGTCTTCCACGGGGATGAGTTGCACAGTAAATATGAAATCCCAGTGTGTGCAAATACAGCAGACTACTAGAGAGAGAGACAAATGTATATCTTAGGTTGACAATAGCAAAAAATAATGAGAGTAGGTGAGATGAACCAACAAAAGCAAAAGAAAGTCATTCCTTTCATTTTTAGCAGCTGAGCAGAAGTCATGATTTAGAAGCCTCTATATGACGCTGGAAGATGAGCCCATCAGGTGAGAAGGCATCCAATATGCTACTGAGGAAGAGTACAAGTAGCTCCAGAACTAATGAAGTGGTTGGGTCAAAGCCGAAAGGATGCTCAGCTGAGGACGTGCCTGGAAGTGAAAGGAAAGTCTGATGCTGCAAAGAAGAATACCGCATAGGAACCTGGAATGTAAGATCTATGAACCTTGGGAAGCTGGAGGTGGTCAAACAGGAGATGGTAAGAATCAACATTGACATCCTGGGCGTCAGTGAACTAAAATGGACGGGAACGGGCAAATTCAATTCAGACGATTATCGTATCTACTATTGTGGGCAAGAATCCCATAGAAGAAATGTAGTAGTCCTCATGTCAACAAAAGAGTGGGAAAAGTTGTCCTGGGATATAATCTCGAAAATGAGAGAATGATTTCAATACAGATCCAAGGCAGACCTTTCAACATCACAGTAATACAAGTTTATGCACCAACCACTGATGCTGAAAAGCCTGAAATTGACCAATTCTATGAAGACCTACAACACCTTCTAGAATTGACACCAAAGAAAGATGTTCTTCTCATTATAGGGGACTGGAATGCTAAACTAGGGAGTTGAGAGATAAAAGGAACAACAGGTAAGTTTGGTCTTGGAGTTCAAAACAAAGCAGGACAAAGGCTAATAGAGTTTTGTCAAGAGAACAAGATGGTCATCACAAACACTCTTTTCCAACAACA